CGAAGTTCTTGCAGAGCCAGCAATCCGGGAAGCCGCAGAGCCAGCAGTCCCCCAAGCATCCAAAGCCGAAGTTCTTGCAGAGCCAGCAATCCCTGAAGCCATAGAGGCAGCAGTCATCCCAGCATCCGAAGCCGAAGTTCTTGCAGAGCCAGCAATCCCTCACGCCATAGAGGCAGCAGTCATCCCAGCATCCGAAGCCGAAGTCCTTGCAGAGCCAGCAATCCCTGAAGTTATGGAGCCAACCGAAGCTGAGGCAGTTCCGATGAATGTGCTTCCAGGCAAGCCATTCCCATCTGCACATGTTAGTGCCAAGGTTGACAAGGATTTGTCAGGTGAGGTGCCACAGCTCATGTCATTGGAGTCCGCAGAAGCCCTAGCAGCTGATCGTGTGGCGATGCCCCCACCCAAGATGTCCGTCACCCTGCGCTTCTAGATTGCATATATCGTACTGCATGTGTGATAGTAATGCAGGACTTGCTTTAATAAATTTCTGCTCCTTGGGATTTGAGGTCCTGATCTGGCCGATACGTTGCCGGATGACCTGGATGAGCACGAGCCTTCTGAGCCTGGTCAGCACGAGGCATTGGAAGAGGGCACGAGGCTGGATGTGGAGCCGGCAAAGGCTGAGGGGGAAGGGGAGGCGCAGAAAGCCCCCATGAGTCCATCTGTGGGATTCGAGGTGTGCTCTGTCTGCCCCGATGAAGAGGGGGAGGAAGAGGCTATGGAACAGGATGTTATTTTGGATGTGCAGGATGGCAAGCTGGGAGCTAAGAGTTGCGAGCCCACATTAGAAGTCGAAGCCGAGAAGCCAACAAGTCCCAGCAAGGCCACTGTCTTCTATGATCAGCATTTGCCTCCGTGTCCAGTGCAGTCTGAACCCAAGCCGATGACACCCAACGAACAGGCAAACCTCGCAGGTGCTGCTGAGGGCAGGGGCCGAGGCCGTGGGAAGGGCCGTGGAAGGGGCCGTGGGAAGAAGGATGAGTGCGATGATGATGCCGAGGATGCCAAAGCACCGTGCGGCCGTGGCAGAGGCCGAGGCAAGGCTTCGGGCCGCGGAAGGGGCAAGGCTATGGCAGAGGGGCGTGGGAAGGGCTGTTCCAACCAGGTCTCTGAGGATGAAGAATCCGGGGATGATATTCAGGATGATGTCTTCACCGAGGCCGATGATGATGATGATAATGATGACGAAGCACCGCAGCCTAAGAAGAAGCCAGCAGCAAAGATCCGCAGCGAAGCAATGAAGCCAAAGACAACGTGCAAGGCGGCCCCAAAGGGCAAAGCAAAAGCAAAGTGCAAGGCGGCCCCAAAGGGCAAAGCAAAAGCAAAGGCCAAAGCAAAGGCCGCAGCCAAGGCCACGGCTAAGACGACTAAGAGCGCTTGCAAATCGCATGGTGAGCGGCCTGCCAAGAAGGCAAAGGTTGACAATGGCAGCAAAGCGGTGGAGCCAGAGCCCCTGCCAAAGGTGCCAAGGGCGAAAGGCAAGGCAGCCCCGTTGAAGCCCATTGGCAGCGACAGAGATGGGCAAAGGGCGGAAACCGACAGGAAGGCCAAGCTTTCTCGAAAGTCGGTGGCATATCACCGGGCTGTGAAGGAGGCAAGGGCGCAAGGCTTGTCCCAGGAGGAGTGCAAAGAAGCAGGCAAAAAGGCTCCTCACCTTCATGAGCATTACAATACTGCCCCCAGTCTCTCTCTCTCTCTCTCTCTCTCTCTCTCGCTCCCTCATTGTCTCTTTCTCTCTCTATAAATCTCTCTCTGTCTGTCTGTCTGACTTATGCATGTTCTTTCTCTCGGTCTCTCTCTCTCTCTCTCTCTTTCTCTCTCAGTCTCTCTCTCTCTCTCTCTCGCTCCCTCCCTCCCTTCCATCCCGAAACCCCTAAGCCCACCAACCCTAAACACCCCCAAATCTCTAAACCCCTGCAACCTTTAAACCCAATCCTGCTGGGATCTGAGGCTTATGCGGAGACGGACTAGTTATGATCGACATGGACGAGTTTTGAGCTTCGATCGGTGATATGTACAAGCCAGTGACTGAGGGTTTTTGGGGGTTGCAGTGTGTGAGGCAAGGCCCTCAACGATCATGCTGCTTTTGGTGATGCATCACCGCAGGGGAGCAGTGCAGGGATATTCATGCGTCTTTAAAGCTGATCCTGCACAAGGGGTTTTCTGTTCCATCGATGATGATCGATATCTGGGCATGAGCATCAAAGCCGATCCGTATGAGCTTGAAAAAACTTGCTGCATGCAACACCAATGCTGCATGTTCTTTGGCACAACCTTGACCCGATGGCCTGATGTGCATATCTAAACCCTAAACCCCAAACCCTAATCCCTAAACCCTAAACCCTAATCGCTAAACCCTAAACCCTAATAGCCGGAGTCTACAGCATGCAACATGGAAGGACTGTGGCCGATGAGTGAAGGCTGGGCAGTCCGTGCCTCCATCAATGGTGCACCTCCTCGTTTGCTGTGGCCTGCACTGTGCATGTGTGCTTTTGGTTGCCAACCTAGAGGCTTGTTAACCTCTGGACACTGTAGGGTTTTGTTCAAGAGAGACGGTGCTAGCGCTGGTGCCACGTCTGTCATATTGTACGTTTGCTAGTGTCCCATGGAGAACACTTACTCCATGGTGGTGAATTTGGCGCAACTCAATGCTCCAAAAGCCACTCATCTGAAATATATACACATGATATATGTGTGCTCGATCCTATGCCAGTGTGCAATCTACAGCTGAGGTGTTTATCGCGACGGTGAGACTCTTGGGTGGTCAGCATAACATGCAACAACCGGGCTGTGCCTATGTGTCCAACCTAAGGTATTGTGCCTCCGTTGGATGACAAACATGGTTTTTGAAGATCGCTACACAATGTTCGAGGTGTTCTCAGGGCAAGCCGAGGTCTCGAAAGTGTGGCCACTAGGTGGCATCGTATATGCAAGGATGCATGGTCTCACTAGCTTATTTCTGGGTTTCATGTTGTGATCTGAGGGCAGATCAAGGCCACAATGTGGCATCGTATGACCGCCTATATGGGGCCCCCATGGATTTTGCATCCAGTGCTGGTTTCGCGATCCTGTGCTGCAGTCGTTGATGCATCATGTAATATAGAGAACTCTATATCCCAAGTCTCTATGCAAGTTGTGCATTCGAGGCTAGCTATGTATGTGGTACTGTGTGAACAACCAGATGCCATGAACCTGCTGGCCCCAGACTGTGGATCGTGGACTACAACGGCTCGAGGGGCTAGCTTACGCTCGGAACTAAACCCATTGGGACGCCAGGCACTCCGTTGGGTTGAGGAGAATAACTGTGTGGTTGCAAGGAGAATCAGCTGCACTTCAATCAGATTCATGTGGACCAATTACCCTAGGCCCTAGAACCCTATACTTAACCTATACCCTATAGATCAAGTGCTTAGGCTGGTGCTCCTCATACTGCTGATCCTCTCCAAACACGGAGCTTGGGTTCTGGAGCAGCCCCAAGGGTCCCTTCTACAAGAAAACTTCAGGTGGCAATGGTTGTGCAACCGGGCTGCTAAGGAAGCCTAACTGCAAATGGGAGTGTCATATACTCGAGATCTTTGAGTTTCGAATACAGTTCAGGGGTCCAGGAAACGTCGGATTGCTCTAAGGTCTACAAGCAAGCTATGTGGATGGGGCATCATGGTGCCCGGACCCCGAAGCGCACGCTGCTACTATCCTCTATGCCTTCCATATCCTTGCTGGATTTGGGGGTTCTTAGCAAAGCTGCTAGAGCCCGACTCCCCGGAACTGGACTGGTGCGAACCTAGGCTAGATGTTTCGGCCGGTGTTATGTAGGTTTCGAGGTGCTTGGGTTTCGATAGGATTTCAGGAGTTTGGTGCTTCATGGTGTTTGCCTTTGTGACTGGATGAGGGAAGAGTTTGTAACCTGGGGTTGGGTTTCGATATGTCTTTATATAGGTTAATTTGATCCAAATATCCTAGCCTAAACCTGATCACCTGTGACCCGAAGAGTTGACAGCTTCTACATGAATGTGCCAATGGCTGAACCTGTAAGTGCTGCATGATTCAATAATATAAGCCCTTGACCAAAGCCTCCAAGTTCGAAGCCGACATCATAAGACCCCAAACCGGAAGAACCCAAACCCAAAGCTAAACCCTAAACCTTGAACCCCTAAACCCCCAAACCCTAAACCCCTAAACCTGCAATGCCCAGTATCTTACAATTTCCAGAACCTAGGAGAGGCAGGTGATTAGGCTATGGTCACCTGGGTCTAGAGTCATTAAGCTAGTACGTGTATCTTAAGGTGCCTATTCAATTTGCCCCGGGTTTCTATGAGGCAGATACATCGACAAGAACGGCAAGAAGCGGTTTGTGGGAAAGCCCGATCTGCTGAAAGAGTCCGGGTATCTTGGCATTATCTACGGATGATGCACCTTGCTCGATTAATATCGGTCAGTTCATCTAAGGGCCTACACCAAAAAATTTGGGGAGAGCCTTTTGAAGGCTTATGAGGTATGGCGGGACCTGCCATACACCGAGCGCTCCGATGTCCGTGCCCGCAGATGTGTGGACCTGTCCAAAAGTGACCGGGAAATCTTTGCTTCCCTAGACACTGGTGATCTATGGTTGGATGCTCGAGTTCACGAGTGCTTCTTGTACCTCTACGGATCTAGCAATTGTGTGTTACTCTGTTGCAAGCAGCAGCATCATGCACTCAGTTTAAAAGCTAGCAGCAGCGGTAGCGAGATCCCTGTTTGTGCTTGTCCTTGCCACAGGATACCGGACAGCTGGATCGGGGTTATGGAGAACTTCAAGGCGGAAGTTCTGATGAAAGTGCCTTGCCAAGAAAGTCCTGTAACTGTTGCAGGAGTGATGATCACTAGTACTTCTAGCCAAGGCCTGTGGTGATGAAGGTCTTCGGAACCAGCTGCAGCAATTAGCTGAAGATGCCATGCCCTAGAGTTTAGAGTTTTTTT